GGTAAGGTGTCACACAAAGGACATTTTGCTCCATTGGGCACCGGGCACCTTTGCGAAAGTGGCTTCTCCCTGGCAGCCATGAGAGCTTGGCTGCCTGGAGCCCACTGGTGCTTACGAAATGGTGTACTCTGGGGCTCCATAACACTGCTGTCCACACGAGAGTCTGTCCCGCCTGCACAGGGAGCAGAGCTGCAGGTAGGAGCTGTGAGCAAGGGAGCAGATTCAGAGATTCAGCTGCTGAATCGGGCCAAATTCAATCAGCAACTGAAGCTTCACACAGCCCTATTGGTTAATCATCAGTGTAACACGGCAAGGAACAAAGTTGCAGGGGGAGTGTCAGGTCAGGGACAGGGCAAGGATAATTACTTAGTAGGCACAGCTGGGGAGAGGGATTGAACCAAGGGTGAATGTTGCCTAATTAAGAGCCAGCAGCTATTACAGTCCATGGCAGGGGGGTATTCTTTGCCCCCTGGGGCACAGCATGAAGAGAGTCAGTGGAGAAAGCCAGGAGCGGCAAACCCAGTGCTGGAACAAATCGCTGATAAGACTGGCTGACCGGAAGAAGGTAACCACGGCAACCGGCGAAGCAAAGAGGTGAGAGGAAGAGGGGAGATACTTACCAGGTTGATCCTCAGCTGGAGAGAAGGTCCCACGGATGAAGAATCCACTGATACCTGCGAGGGAAGGAGAGAGAGAGAAACTGGAGGTGAGCCGACAAGCTCAGGGGAGTGGGTTGCACGGTGGTGGAGGGTGAAGGAAGACCACATGCTGTGAGAACAGCCAGGGTTATCCACAACCTGCTGGGAATTCACTAATAAATCAATTTACTTTTATCCTGCTTCTGGGGTGATTTACTACACCCTCTCTCATTGGGGAATTAACTTCTTATTCTTCTATTACATCAAGGCATGGCAGACAAGCCCCAGGGAGAGAGATTTCATTAGTTGCCCCCAGATGGCCACAATCAACTATCTGTATTGGCCAAGAAAATCTTTACTGGTGCACTCTTAATAAATATATTTTCCCTGTATTCAAGAAGCAGTAGAATGGTGTTCTTGTATGACACACAGGTAATGAGGTTTTCCAGTCCTTTAGAATCTAAGGAGCATGTTACAAACCATCTATCGGGTTAAATATTTGCTAACATCAATAGGTTTGGATGATCCATTGTCCTGTGTCCTGAAAAAGCTAGCTAAGCTTGCCGCAATGTTAACGTTTTTAATCAGTTTTGAAATAGTGGGAAAATTGCAGAAGACTAGAAGAGCACTAATACATGACAGTATTCAAAAGGAGTAAGCAGGATGATCCAAGTAATTATAGGTCAGTTAGTTTGACATCAGTCACAAATACAATAACAGAAAATTGATGTAGGTAGGTTTCAATTAAAAGTAATTATACTCCCATGCTTTAATTCATGCTAAATAATATTGACATCATTTTATGGAAAACTGGTCTTCCAAACAAGCCTCTCCATTTCTTGAGAAGATTACAAGCTTGATTAATCAAGGTGACTTTGTAGAGTTAATAGGCTCCTTTGAAGTGTTTGACTGAAAATTAAACTGAAAAATTAGCATTTTGCAATAGCAACAGAGCACATATGAAAACAGATTAAGAATTGGACTAACACATACACATGAATGGACAGGTTGTAGGATAATCAAAAGGTGAACTCCTTGTGGGGATCCTCAGAAACTAGTAAGCTTGATGCTCGTCAAAATTGTTGTTGATCCAGATAACTGTTGCTAAAGAGCATAGCCTTATCAAGTCATTGAGCTGCTTTCCAGAAGTCCTATCTCTTCTCTTCACTCCTTGTGGTCTTATTCTAGTAGCTTTCTGCCAGCCCTCTGCTAGAAGACTAAGTTCTGAGCTCCTTCAGTCTCTTAGAACTACCACCTGAATAGCAGCATCAATTTCCCTGTGACCACTGGAGATGTTAGACACATCTGGAGACAGCTCCATTTTGTTTTAACCCCTAGTTGTGCAAATAGTTTGTGGATTACAAAGATTTTCAGAGTGATCCCTAATGAGGGCAAAATAATCACACAGGGCAATTTGGATCACCTGATGATCTGGATCCAGTCCAAGTGTACTTTAAGGCAGCAAACGTAGCTGCATATCTGACTTATGACCATGCCTATGGAATGGAATGAAGGACTGTAGCCTGGGAAAGAGCAAGCCTGAAAAGGAAGTGGTCAAGCAAAACATGAACCATCTTGCAGTCATAAGAGTTTGTGTGATCCTTAAGAAGTCAGTGGATTTTCCTTTTACATATAGTATTGATAAGACTAAATTACTACATCCAGTTCTAGTTTCCACATTTGAAAAACAGGAAAGGGGACAAAAAGGAAAAATGACAATGATGATCCATGAGCTGGAGAAAGATTTTGTGGGTAGATCTACACATGCAATTAGGGCAATGAAATAAACTCCAGCGTGGTTCATACTAAAGTTTATTTCTCCTGGGTACAGTGTTTACATGTGTGCCTGGAACAGCAACATGTTGAGCTAGGGTGGAGCAGCCCTGGGCTGGCAGGGGGTATGGGGGTCAGCTCCAGGCTCTGGGTGGTGGTAGCAGGCAGAGAAGGGTCTGGCTGGGGCATGAGGCAGGTAGCCCCCTCACTGTAGCCCCCTCATGTCCCAGCCAGCCCATCACCATCTAATTGTGCATTGTGGTGGTATAAATTACTCCACACTAGGATAGTACTTGCCCCAGACAGTACTACCCTATGGCAGAGTTAACTCATTTACTGTACCCTAATATGGCCACACATGTAGACAGTGACACTTCACTATGGAGCTAATTAGTTAGCTGCAGTAAAGCACATATGTAGTTGCATGTGCCCACTGTGAACAGCTTGGAGTTTAATCAAAAAGATGATTGATGGATGGCTTGCTTTTGGGGAGATAGCACCATACACTTACAGCCCAGTTGACCCAGTCTATTCACTGTGCCAAAGATCCCACCTTCCATTATCAACTTGTGAAGTTTTTAAAAAAGCACCTTTGTGGTTTCTTCCATGTTGCTCCTCTAGAAAGGGACTAAAGCTGTGAAATATCTACAAAACCACCTCTCTTTATTTCTGTACTTCATTTCTGTGCTGTCCTCTCCAAAGCAGTCTCCAGGTGACTTACAATAAAAACAAGTCATAAAAATATACAAAATAAAAATTAAAACAATTTCCTCAAGACTACCCCAAAACTTGACACACCTGCTAGAATCCTGCCTAAATTAAAAAGGCCTTACACTGCTTCTGAAAAAAAACAAACATGGTTACCAGTATTGTCACATTGCTCTCCCATCTGGCTGTATATACACGTTCTCCTCATCTTAGATGTAACACTGACATTTTTTTGGAACAAGGCCTCTGCTAGTACCCACTGATACAGTCTTAGCACAAGGGGATACAGAACTGGAGCTCTCAGTGAACTGGAAGCAGAATCTAGGGCAAGGTTCGAGTCAAAGTTGTCTGAAGACAGCTGGCATTCAAACTAGACCTTGTAGAAGGTCTTGTGAAGGGAAGAGGTGCCAGCCCTCTTCCACAGGAACCTATTGGATATTCTCCTGCTTTGTCAGTCTACCATTACCTATTCTTGGCTCTGATACTTTTCTCAAATTTGACAACAAAATTTCACCTTACTTCAGAGATCTGTCTTCCCTGTGTCCTTCTAGCCACTTTTCTCCTTTGCAGCAATATCCTTCCTGTTTCATCATTTCTCTTGCAACTTTCCCATCAGACCCCTGCTGATGAGATCCTTCAGGACAACCCTCAGTTTTTGCTTTCTTCCACCTGGAGGAAAGAAAAAAGACTGTAGCCTTTTATCCTTAACCACTCCTCATTAAAGGAAGCTGGAGAGGTAGTTTGATTTTCTAATAGGCTTTTAATGACCCTTGTAGAGTTGGATATAAAGTCTATCACTGATTTTTTTCTCCCTGCTCAGTAGATAAAGGAAGCACCCTCTGGTGGAACAATACACTCCCGCCCAAACAGAAAAAAAATTGTGGTGTCAGATCCTGGTGCTCCAGAGGAATATGCTTGGAAGCCAATCACTGCATATTAATTTTATTAGTAACCAGAAGAACATATATGTGAGAAACTAACTTCAAAAGGTCACTCAAGTAGGACAGAGGGTATCCTGGGTTCCACTCTCTTCTCCTGGGACCACTTTTCTGTTTTGACATTAGACAATCATAAAATAAAAGCATACCCAGCATTAGGATAAAGGTTGGTACCTAGGAATCCCTATTTTCCTGAGTGACCTTTGCAATAAGCTACACAGCCAGCTTCCCTCCCATTTGTCTCCTCCTGGCTCCATGACTTCTGTATTCCTTTCTGCTCAGTGACCTAACTTTAACTGTGAAGATTCACAGTGGGCAAGTGGTCCCACCACAAAAGTGGTATGCAAAGGCCGACAGCAAGGTCCTTAGCTGCTGAGTCTAGACAATATGGCAGAGCTCCTACATGGGCAAACTAGTAGCTGAACTTGGCACACAAATCACTTTTTGCCAGAAGATGTCAGCACCTAGGTCTCAGGTACATAAAACAAGTTAGTCAGGGTTTTTGTGAAGTTTGTTTAAATGCTAAAGCTCTCCTGTGAAGCCCCACCCTTTAATCCCTGTATATCTTCAGGTCAGCTTTCTCCTCAAAAACACCAAAAAAGTGGTAGTTTCATCCCTTAACAGCTGTCACAGCATGGATTATAAAATAAACCTAATCATAGGCCTGATTTCTTACTGCCTCCTCTCTTTTCACTCAGTCATTATCTACATCGGTGGAAAAAAGATGTAAAATATACACTGCATCCTGATGTAAGCAACACTACAAGGCAGTAGAGAATCAGGCCCTGTCTGATTTAATGGTTTGATGCTACTGATTACAACAATGCACTGCAAAGCTTTCCTGACTGAAGCTGAATCAAGTGAGAAGAAAAACAGGCATGTATGCTTTGTGCGACAGACTGCAGGCCCCAAATCCACTGTACTGATAATATTCATTTTTTTATTGATATCTGTATACTTTTACTAACAGGGTCAAACACAAACAATCCAAATTACTTAATTTAAAAAGTGCTTCCATAGAGTTCAATATTGATGCCTTGTTATGGGAAAACACCCTTAACAAAAGAAAATGAAGTCAAGAATGTTGGAATAGGCCTATAGTTCCAACATTACAATTGCGAAGACAATGAGAAATTCCTACAGCATTGTAATCCTGCATGTCAGTTTGTAATGAATTCACCATTTTAGTTATTAAAATGCCCTAAATCTGAGTCTAATATTATAAGTGATTGTCAGTGAATGTGCAAGTACAAAAGAGAACCATGAATCTTGTGTGTGAAAGATCAAAAAAAAACTGATCCTAAAAGTGTGTATATATGGCCTGACTATGCAGCCCTTCCTCAAACCAGGCTCTAACTCATATCAATGAGAATCGTGCCTAAATAAAGAGTATTCAGGTAGATTTTTTAGTCTGGAAGATGGTAGGAGGAGGCGTAGAAATGTATTTTCTAAATGAACATAATTGCAGATGTGCCGTTTATGGATTTATTTACTTAATGTTTCTTAGCCATTCAAATATACAAAGAAACTAATTTTTAAATATGTTAAATATAATTTGTGAAATATATTTGTCGTACGTTACAATCCTACCATCAATCCTAAAAGGAGGTAAGAGGCAGCTGAATACCAAAAGCCTAATCCTCAAACTATAAATGCCTCACACTTAGAGCCTTCTCACTCATGAAGGAGAGAGTACAGTCACTCATTTCAGCTGACATCCAGTAGTATAAAGCACTAACAAAGCTCCTCCTGACATAGTCTCATAATGCAAATATAATTGACTAAGTAGTATTCAAACCTGTAATGAAAAAAAGCAATGCTAGTCATAAATAACCAAGATAACTCATAAAACTGGATTATTTAACCAAGACGGTAAAGGTTGAATGACAGTGAGCCTAATTGCAAAACATGAGCTTTTTTAGATTGTAGTAAGTTGTTATTTGAAATAAGGGTTGTAGGTTCTTCTAATTTTCATTGAAACTGATCTAATTTTGACTGGTTTTTCATTCAGTGTCCACGTATCCCAATGAATCCCTGTTGCAAGAAACCTTCCAGTGAAACGATGAACACCATTGAGATTCGCAAGGCCACACTGGTTGAACCACCACCCTGTGTTGTCACTGAAGTTACTGCAACTCTTCACAGGCTGTTCCTTAATAGTGCACACTGGCCTGCACCCATCATTATCAACATCAAAGGTGCTGAAGGGCATTGCATTCTGGTTATCTTCCTGTCTGTATCCCCGAAATGCATCACCTGATTGAGACAGATCCAAAATAAATTACTTATATGGAGAGAGAATTATTTTTGTATAAAAAAGCTAACGCTTCCACTTCATACATAAATTGTGGATTTTTTCCTACAAATTTGTTACAATGACAAAATCCCAGGTGGCGAGATATCACAATTAGAAAAGAAAAAAAAATGATTGTGTGTTGATGTTACTCAGTTGTGTAAGTATAACAACTCACAGGATAAGGCTCCAAACAAATCACTCCACCCTGGAGTAAATTTGCTCCTCAGATAGTGAGGAGTAACTACACAAGAGTGTCAATTATATAGTGTAAAAATCATGTGTCAACCCTCCTAGTCAATTTCATCTTTTGCTCAAAGTAAATCAGTCCCTTCACTTCCTAGTGGTCAGGTTACTGTAACAATTACTGCCGGTAGCCATTTTAGAAGTTCTGCCCTTCTTTCTGTTCCTAATTAGAATAAATTCACCATGGAGTAAAATCAGGGATAAATTACTCTGTGGTAATCATGCCACACTCTTTGTGTGGCACGGCTGGAAATCTCATCAGACCTAATTAGCTAGCTGACAGAAACACACTACCCTATTTTCAGGTCCAGTTACCTTACTCCCATATTTCTGGTCTGGGAGGTTGTGTTGCTGTCTGTTTGCTTCAGTAACCTATTCTGACTCAGCCCCACTCCACAAAAGAAAGGTCTGTGGCTGCCACTGTGACTGAGCACCTTGCAGCTGTCTGCAAACAAAGTGACCGACATCAAAAAAATTCCCATTGTCTTCAGTATGTAGGCCCAGAGCAGGTGAATAATCATTAACACTGAATTCATATTTTTCCCTTAACTAGAATCTATTATAACTGCTTTGCTAGCAGAGTTCATTGATACATGACTCCACTGAAGGTAATTTTTAAAGGAACTAGAAGGTCTTAGTGTAAAATTGGATGTTTTATGCCCACATAAAAATGGCATTCATCAAATCAATCACCATAACAGTAACCATTACTCAGTTTTTACAGTTTTTACATTCATTGTGCACAGAAATACTTACTTATTTTCTGGAAATATGCAACTTAGAAGTAGACATTTTTCACATTAGCCTACCTAAACATTCCATCTTCTGTACCTTGTGCAGGGAGGAAATAGATTTCTTTTAATACTTAAGACGACAGTCTTACCTGCATTTCCTGAATAGTGCCCTAAATGGATTTTAAAAGAACATACTTCATCCTCTACCCAAAAGTTGTCATAAGAGGCATATGCATATCTGTCATCTTCTGATTCCAAAACCACATGAAGCTTGAAGCTGGCTGCTTTCTGGTTTACTATATGAAAAATTTTCCTCAGGCCAAGCCAAAATTCTCCTGTAAAAGAAATGTAATATAACCTACTTAAGAACATATTGATCTCTTCCACTTTTCCCTACTTTATTTTGTTTCCTGAACCAAACAAAATGAATAATAAAACTGGTTGAAAGGAATATGTTCATTTGAAAGATTTAAGAAATGAGACAATTCACTTAAGAAGTCCACAAACTGGATTTTCATATACACATTATCTTTCATTATGACTCAGCAATGTGTATGCAAAATTGAGAACTGTCCTCATTTTATCTTCTCCTTTGATATAGTCTCTCAGTGATTCTCAACCACTGTGCTGCAGCATATTGACACAGTTAGATGTGCAAAGTCCTACATGTGATTCACAAGATAAACCAAGAGATTTCAACAAGGAATCCATAATGTTATAAACAAACTGACCTGTTGGAGTCTTCCAGAGTTCTTTGTAACAGAAAAATCAAACTATTATTTTTCTGAAGTCATATAAAGTAATTAAAGCTAAGAACTGACATTTTCTGAGGGGTGCTTTGCATCTAAAAACGCTGGACACTGACAGACACGGAAAAAAAAAACAACCAAAACCGTGCTTTACCAGAAACAGCAGTGCATTACTTTGACCCAGCTCCGTGGCACTTGTATAGATTAGAAACTTCAGTGGGGCTTTTTGGCACTTTTATCTAATAGCTGATTCAATTGGTTTATCTTGAAATCTCTCGGTTTTATCTAATAGCTGATTGAATCAGCTATTAGATAAAAGTGCCTTAAAAGCCTCACTGACATGCCTGACCTATACAGACATTGGGAAAGCTGGTTCCAACTAATGCAATGCTTCTTCTGGGCATGTGCTGGGCTCAGCACAGGAGTATGCCAAGTTTTAAGTGCCATTTTTTAATTATTTTTTTGGGGGGGGAGGCGGGGGGACAATTTCACATCTGCAAGCAGTCATTGAGCAGTATTCCTTTCACCGAGCAAAACTGAGTGTGGGTTACCTGCTAGGCCCAAAATAATCTAGTGTCACTCATAATGGTTCATTTGTAAATGGTACAGCCATACACAAATCTAAATCAATACTCTTGAGTAGAATTTCTTTAAGAATTAATATTTCTGCTCGTTTCTAAGAAATGTAGGCCCTAAAGAGGTACAGTGGTCTGCAGAGCTGAAAAGTCATGATCTTCCCTTCTTACTACCCCTGATACAATTCTGCAAGAGGAGCTGTCCTTGGATTTATTGGAAGAAAGGGAGTAGCTGGGAAATAATTCCACCGTTATGCCATCTGAAACTTTTGCATTGTAACCCCACCTTTCACTTGCTCATGACTTTCATAACTTGCATCTATGAAATGAAACTATGCAGGTTTTGTTTCTGCTTGGCAGACAATGTTGTTTGGAAGTGTGATCAAAATGGTTGAGGTATTGTTTAAATCTTAAACACACTTTCCACCTTATGAAAGAGGGAAAAGAACTTTTTAACCATTCTGGCAATAAAGGCATAGAATTTGTAGTTGCGAATAGTTATTACTGAGGAGTGAAGAGAATTTAATTCATGAAATAAATAAAAAGTAACTTTTAAAGAGCAAAAACTTTATCTTACAATTCTTAGACAGCTAAAAGACCCTTAGACTTCTGTAGGAGTCTTGCCTATGCTGTGGCAATCAGATTGTTTCCAAGGCCTGTTTTTTACATTAATAAAATATAAATTATCTTCATTTTTAAGATTTTTAATATCTCTTGAACATAAAAAATATTACCAGAAAGATCACCAAATCCATCCAGGTATTCAGACCATGTCCTCTGGAATTCAATTATCCCATCAGTTCTTTTCTGAATCACAGTCCACCCACCTCCTTGAAAATCC